CATTCTCTGATCACTGTATAGTATCACTAAACATTAAGATTAAAACTAAGAGAAAAAAAATGTCCCTATGACCTGAATATTTTTTTATTGTTCTCTTTTAAAAGAACTTTTTTTTTTTCAGGCTGAAGGCAAAGGGAACATGAACCGGCTGGTGAAGAAGGGACGTTATTCATACCAGCTACGGCTTTGTTGTAGAAAAGTTCTGTAGCTTCTACACATACTTCTTTAAAAGAAACTTGAGTCAATAAAGAAGTACAAATCAAAATGCAGAATATTTAGAAAATAACAAAACCACAACCTTACAGAATCTATGAGATACAGCTAAAACAGTGCTTTAAAAAAAAATTTTTTTTTTTTGGCCGCACCATGTAGCTTGCGGGATCGAACCCGGGCCCCCCAAAGTGAAAGCGCCAAGTCCTAACCGCTGGACCGCCAGGGAATTCCCTAAAACAGTGCTTATATGAAATGTTTTTAGCCTCAATTAATAAAAAAATTAAAATAAAATAAGTAAGCATCCAACGCCAAGAAATTAAGATCTTTAAGACGTTGACTGGTGTATGGGTCACCGTGGAGCCACGTCTCTCCATCGCCTGCTGGGCTGTGTGCCCCCTCCTCACTCTGCAGCCAGCAGTAAGCACGCCCCACCTCACATTCTGCCTATGGCCCACCTGCCAGCTCCCGGCCCTTCCCAAGGTACATCAAAGGGCACTGGTAATTCTTTGCGAAGACCCCTTTTAAAGCTTTACATGCTTTGCCCTAGTCCACGCTATTACGACTCCAATTAGCAAAGGAGAATTACCAAACCACCAGAACCCCGGCAGACGGTCACAGCCAGGGCAGCTACAGCTTTCTTGTAGAGCTTCCTCTGACATTTCTCTCCTTAAAGAAGGAGAAAAGATATCCACTATTATTTAACCAGCTCTAGATGCTCAAAAACTAAATTACACAAGAGAAAATAATTAGAGATTTTAAAAAATCAAAAGAAGTTAAAACTATCACTATTTGAATATCAGGTGATCTCTACCTAGAAAAAATGAAGAAAATAACCGAAAAAAAAAAAGTATTATAAACAGTAAGTGAAATCAGTAGGAGGTTGGATACAGTCCTGAGGCCCGAATGGAGCACCAGGTTTCTTGGGAAACTGTCAGGAATGTAGTGGCAGGTCATGTCTATCAGATCCCTTCACTGAGGGTGTGGTCATTTAAATATTCTGGAAGAAACACTTATTCTGTATTTGGGTTTTCTTTCCCAGCAGGTCATGCCTCTGAGTATTTCACCAACCCTGGAATTACTGACTTTGCATAACACAGGGGGGTCCACACAAAATCTCTCCAACCAGGAAACTCATTTCCCAGTGAGAGAAATAAGACAGTTGGCCAGCCATGGGCCATGATCATATTTCCCATCCACAAGAAGCAGCTGGTCCTATAGAACAATGAAACGGTGTTCTGAAAACAGATCTAGCAGTACCCAGGAGACTGCACCTGTGAGGCTGGGACACTTTCTTGTAGAAAATGATATGTGGAAAAAAAAGAAAAGAAAATGACATGTGATCTCACACTGTGACTGAAATGCAGTGTCAATTTTCCCTCAGCCGATATTAGAGGTTCAGAAACCAAGGGCTGGGGTTGGGGGTGGAAGGTGGCAGCTCTCACTATTACTTTGATCTCTAAAAATATTTCCTTTCCATCCCCCAAATCACTCATGTTCTGTGGACTTGAGTGTCCAAGTGGGCGAGGTATTTTCACCAGGGAACCCGGTGAGGGTTCCACCTGGCCATCTGGGACTCCTCCCACCACAGGCTAGTGGCAGAAAAGGGTGTTCCCGTGCTAGCTGTGCTCTGATTATACAGGGGAAATGGGGTTGTTACTCCCCGATAGGGTTTGGGAGGGGCAGAGGAGGTTGCCTCCTTGCACCACCACACCCAGTGGCACAAATTAACCGAAAATGATCACAGTGCATATTAATGTTCTAATTTTCCTCCCCCACGACTATCCTGTACACCAGGGTTTGTGGTAGCTAAGACTACCAATTTGTTCAAGGTTTCAGGATAGTAAGAAATAACCTTCGGCTAACGGGAAATACAGGAGGAATGGGTAGCACTTGGAAACTGTGAACTCCAGAAGGAATGTTTAAAGTGTTCCGAGATGTCACAGCTGCATATCTGGATGTGACTTGGTGTCATCTTTTTTTCTGGGGGGGCAGGGTGGGGGCAGCGTTTAAGTGCATTTGCGGCTGTGATAACTGGAGAGATGAAACCAAGTACACACCGGGGTGCCCAGAGCTTAGCTCTGGGCCCTCTTCTCTGTCTACATGCTGCACCTAAGCAACCTCACCCAGTCTCATGGCTTTAAATAGCTCCTGTACACTGATGACTCCTAAACCTACATTTTCACTTCTGGCCTCACCTGCAAATCCAAACTATATATCCACCTGCCTACTTGATCAACTACTTGGAGGCCTCACAAGTATCTCAAATCAACATATCCAAAGCAAAGCTACTGATTTCTGGCTATCGGCATCCCCTAACCTTCTTCTGCTACAGTCTCCTTTTTTTTGTCAATAAATGGCACCATAAGCCATCCAGTTGCTCAAAACAAAAATCTAGAGCTGCCCTGTGCAATATGGTAGCCACTAACCACATGTGACCACTTCAATTTAAATTTTAATTAATTAAAATAAAGTAAAATAGGGCTTCCCTGGTGGCGCAGTGGTTGAGAGTCCGCCTGCCGATGCAGGGGACACGGGTTCGTGCCCCGGTCCGGGAAGATACCACGTGCCGCGGAGCGGCTGGGCTCGTGAGCCATGGCCGCTGAGCCTGCGCGTCCGGAGCCTGTTGCTCCGCAATGGGAGAGGCCACAACAGTGAGAGGCCCGCGTACCGCAAAAAAAATAAAAAAATAAATAAAGTAAAATAAAAATTTCAGGTTCTCAGCTTTATTAGCCACATTTCAAGTGCTCAATGGCCACACGTAGCTAGTAGCTACCATATTGGACAGTCAGATACAGAACATTTCCATCGTCACAGAGAGATCTATTGGACAGTGCTTCTCTAGAGAGATTGCCATTGATTCCTCTTTCCCCCACCTCCCACATGTAAGCCATTGACAAATCCCATGGATTTTACCTCCAAAACATTCCCTGAATCAATCCATTACTCTCCAACCATTACTCTGCCACCATCATCTTTCACCCCGACTGCTGAACGCACTTCTTAATTGCCCTAGTTTCAATCATCCCCACTGTAACCATTTCCGCTATAGCAGACAGAATGACTTTTCTTAGAAACTGAACATCAGATCATCTCTTGCTCCTGCTACAATCCTTCCAATGGTTTCTGTGGCAGAGGCTGTGGTTTTATCCTAATATCCTTTCTCCCCTTCCACCTCGGTAATAGAACCTCTGAAGTTTAGGTGAGCACATGGAAGCCCGAAATAAAGAAAACATTTTCCAGAGTCCCTCCTTGCACTTAGGTGTGGTCATGTGACTGAATTCTGACCAGGGTGAGCCAATGAGGTTGTGTGTATGTCCTTAAAAAGAGCAGGTTCTTCCTGCTGCTGTAACAGACATGATGGCTAAAGCTGGAACAGACCATGAGGTGAACTTGGGAGGGGAGGTAATGCACTGTGGAGCAACAAGATAGAGGGAGTGTGGGTCCCTGACACAGTGGAGCAACCCACCAGCCCTGGAACACCTACCTAGACTTTTACATGAGAGAGAAATAAACTTCATCTTGTTTAAGCCCCGATTATGTGAGGTATTCTGTCATAGTGGGACTTAATTCTAATACAGCTTCCCATCACACTTAGAAGAAAATCCCAAGTTCCTTACTAAAGTCTGGAAGGTTCTACACGATCAGGTCCCACTCCAGTATAATCCCCCTCATCCCCCCACACTCCAACCTGCTTTGTTCTTTGCTGCTTCCACACACCAAGCTTCCTCATGCTTTAGGGCCTTTGAACTTGCTTTTCCTTCTGCCTGGGTTGCTCCTTTTCTGTTACTCAGGTCTTAGCTTTAAATATCACTGCTTCAGAGACGGTCCCCTGACCAATCCGAAATACCCAACAAGTCACTCTCTTTTACAATAACTTACTTTGATTCTCTGCATAGAACTTACCAGAGCTGATGATTCTTTAATTTGTTTATTGTCTGCCTCTCCTACTAGAATGTAAATTCCGTGAGGATAGGAATTTTGATTGGTTGGTTCACTGCTGTATTCCAAGTGTCTACAACAGTTCCTGAAACCTAGTAAACTACTCAATAAGTGTTTGTCAAATGAATGCTCAAATACTGTTCCACGGATAGGGTGGTGGTTAAAAGCAGGGCTTCTAAAGTCAGACGTCCCAGATCAGAACCCTGGCTGGGCCACGAATCAGTCGTGTGACCTACCTAAGTTGTATACCTAAGACTCTGTAAAATGAGATTTCCTACAGCATAGGGTAGGAGTAAAAATATATATACATATATAGCGTTTATAAAGCACTCCCTCTCCTTCTCCCTTCCTTACTCTGAGACCTCCCGTCTTTTCTCCCTCTCTTTGGCCCCTCACTTGGCCACTTCCTTCGGCTTTGCGTTGCTCTCGGCACAGTCTAGCTGAAACTAGTTGTTTGAAATTTAGCGGGAATTAACATCATCCCTCAGGAGGACCATAGCTGCGCAAGCGCAGGACACCCACTCTTTCTCGTCAGCAATCTTTGCAGCCTCGACAGCCAGTCAGAGTTATCGTCGGAGCCGAGTTCCGAAGACTCACCAATTGAGTGTGGGAGGCGGTCAGCCCTGGAGGCAGTGGCGAGAGGGGGCGGGAACAAGGAGAGAGCACGCACAGTTCTCGCAGCCAGGTTCTCAGCAGCCCAATCCCAGAGGCCTGAGGCCTGAAGGCAGTGGGGCGTGGCGTTGGCAGCTCCCGCAACTCGAGGCCGTCCAATGCCGGGCCAATCAGAGTGAGGAGGTGGAGGAGGCAAGCCAATCAGCGTGCAGGACAGGAGAAGCAGGGGGTTGAGGAGTCTCGCGCGGTTGCCGCCGGCTCCCTAGCTTCTGTCAGGGGAGCCGGGCGTGCGGGGGCGACTGAGGAGGCGGGAAGGCGGCAGGGGTTGAAGGGGCGATTGCTGACTTGCGGGGAGGAGGTCCGAGGGGTTGAGCAGCATGGTGATGGCAGCGAAGAAGGGCCCAGGGCCGGGTGGCGGGGTCGGCGGGGGAAAGGCGGAGGCGGAGGCGGCCTCGGAGGTGTGGTGTCGCCGGGTGCGGGAGCTGGGAGGCTGCAGCCAGGCCGGGAACCGCCACTGCTTCGAGTGCGCCCAGCGCGGGGTCACCTACGTGGATATCACCGTGGGCAGCTTCGTCTGCACCACCTGCTCCGGCCTCCTGTGAGTGGACCGGCGCGGGGGGAGGACCGGGAAGGAGCGGCGGAGAGTTGGCGTTGAGGACAGCGGGGACCCGGGGCGAAGGGACAGAGCCGAGGTCGGGGGCGGTGGGGAGGCCTGGGACGCGCAGGATGTGCCGAGAGGGTCGTCTGCTGCAGGGGTGTCACGGGGAAGGCGAACGGTCAGGGGCGACAAAAAACGACTGGAGTCGCGATGCAGGGGAAAGGAAAGACAGCGTGAGAACTGGAGAAACTCCCTAAAGGAGGCGAGGCGATCCGAAAGTGGGGAGAATTGAAGGAAACTGGGGTCGGATGGGGGTTAGAGATTTAAGGGGCCAGAGAATGATAGACACCTTGAAAGGGAACTTCATGTAAGTGGAGGGCAAACAGGAAAGAGGTAGAGCAAGCTAGACTCAACATGAAGGGGTACCTTTCTTCCTTCTGGCTTGTGCCCATCCTGGATTGTGAGACGGAGAAACCAATTTAAAATAGGTAAGTTAACCCAGGTTGACAGCACAACGGTAATGGCAGGTAAAGAGCCACGTTCCAGTGTTCAGGAACAGATCCTAATCTTGCAGGGTTTTAGAATGCTACCCAGAGGGAGATTTCTTACAGTTCTAAGAGATGAATGCTGATGGGTTGCCCTGTTAGAGAACTTAACTTTTCCAGAGGTTTGGGGATCTGGATGAGCCATCCTTAAGTGTAATAATTTACACCTTTAAGCTCCTTGTTGCCATGGCTTGCTCCTGGTAGTAACATCTGGCGACTCTTTCTAGATTTGGGGGGAGGGGGGGTTGTTGAATAATCTGCAGTGCTACCTTGGCACTGGCACTGAATTTGGTCATGCCTGAGCTAATTTAGAGCCACAGATTTCTAGCCCAGATTTCTGGTTATATAGTAAGGTTCTTTTTTCCCCCTTAGGGAGTTATCTGGTTAGATGCATGACTAACATTTGATACCAAGCCTGCATGTCTATCTTTATAAGTTTATCAGGGGCTTTATTTTGACTTTTTTAGTATTAATACATTAGTCTGGTTGGTTTCATTTTTAACTAGGAGCGCTTTCCTTGTTTCTTCTTACATCTTTAGGAGCTGAGGAGGGAGTGGTATTGTTCTTGCGTGACAGATGGGAGAACAGAAGCAAAGAGAGGTTTAGTAACTTATCCAATGCCAGATGGGGGTTGCTATTTTCAGCATTTGTTGTTCCATATTAGTTATGATCATGGCAGACCAGAAATGAGGGTCCAGGTCTCCTCATGCAGTTTAGGATTATTTTTCTATTCGATTCTTACTTCCTTAGCCAAACTTCTATGTTTTAATCAGCCTTACTTGTGTGTCGTGAGGATAGACTTGACTTTCGTCTAAGTAAAAGCATTGTGGCTCTTGGGATAGTGGTTTAGAACATGAACAGTAATGTGTCAGAAGTTGAGATAGAGGCTCAAAGGAAGTCAAAGGATAGAGACTTGAGACTGGGACAAGTACTTTCAGGAGAATAGGAGCAAAGTTTAGGAATATTTATAGTGCAGAGTACAAAGAGAGCAGATTCCTGAAGATCCTGTTATGAAAAGGCAAATCTGATTACAGAGTCTGGAGAGAAGTCAAAGGAAGCAGGGGGATAGCACTGATGGCATATCAGAGTCTAGGTCGCAGGAAGAAAATACCAGGAAGCAGTGTTAACTCATTCCCCTAGTTAGCTGCCAAGGCATGAAAGCTAAAACGCTGAATAAATGGAAAGTGCTGACATCATTATCATTATTTTATAGATCTTGGTTTAAAGTATCCCATAGACAACACTTCCCTTCTATAATGAATGTCCCTCAATCAGGACAGAAGGAGGGCCAAGGGATCTGGCTCACATTAAAAAACCCGGTTTCTTTTGCTGGACAAGTTAACTCCTTAAACATCAGTGCACAATTTGCAGAACTTTACCACTTCCTCCTGTGGTCATTATTGTTGAGCTCACTGGTGAAAAGTCAGACACCTGTGATCTGGACAGACAGTGGGTGGGGCTGACGATGGCCTAAGGTTGCTTAATAGAGAAGTACCTCAAGAGGCCTGTCTCTGTCTGTGGCGCACGTAACTTCCAACTAGGGGCTTAGCTCCTTAGGAACCTAAGTTCCTATAGGACCAAGTGGTGGGAGTCTACCAGCCTCCCCCTTTTCTTTTAGTTTCAAAAGATTCTCGAAAGGACATTTTTGCTTAGTATTTTGGTAAAGCATTATGAGAATCACTCGGAGTCATTCTCAAGGTGGTAGACTTTAGGGAACACATTTTGGTGGTTGGAAATCAGAAGCTAGGCCAACTGTTTGTTAGCAGGAAGTGAGGGTAGAGTGAAGGGTCAAGAAGCTGGACCAATAAATGAAGCTGAACTGAAGGCATGTTGAGATTATAAAGAGACAAATGTCAGAAGAAGCTCTACAAGAAAGCTGTAGCTGCCCTGGCTGTGACCGTCTGCCGGGGTTCTGGTGGTTTGGTAATTCTCCTTTGCTAATTGGAGTCGTAATAGCGTGGACTAGGGCAAAGCATGTAAAGCTTTAAAAGGGGTCTTCGCAAAGAATTACCAGTGCCCTTTGATGTACCTTGGGAAGGGCCGGGAGCTGGCAGGTGGGCCATAGGCAGAATGTGAGGTGGGGCGTGCTTACTGCTGGCTGCAGAGTGAGGAGGGGGCACACAGCCCAGCAGGCGATGGAGAGACGTGGCTCCATGGTGACCCATACACCAGTCAACGTCTTAAATCCACATGGTTGCTTGCCCACAGATTTGGATTTTGTGGTGCTAGTGAAAATCGTAGTAGTAGGCCAATATCTTGCATCAGTCTATCAGTCAACAAATGTTTGTCAAGTGTCTTAAGATCCAGACACTGTTTTAGGCACTGGAGATGTGGTAATGAACAAAACTGACAAAGTCCTATCTTCATGTAGCTTGCATCCTAGGGGAGGCCTTGGACTCTAAATAAATCATGAAATATATAATTTCAGGTAGTGATAAGTGCTACGAAGTAAACTAAAGTTCAGCATGGGCTAGAGAGTGATGAGAGCTCATATTCAGCTATGATGATGAAAAGAGAAGAAATATTCTTTCTTAAAATAAAGAGGATATTGAAGGGGAGGAAATTGAAGTATCATACTTCACACCATAGCCAGAGAAAGGAGACAGAGGCTTGGCTTTCTTTTGAAAGCCAGTTTTCTGTTGAGTGTGTTACAAATATGTCGACCACTTAGGGGGCTGGAGTGTTCTGGGGCAGTGAGCAGAATTGCCAGCGTTCCCATCTGGCTGGATTGACTGATAATAACAAAGTTGACTGTTCCAGCCAAAGTTGAATTTCCCAAGATCTGAAGAAAAATTGAGATTTTAATAGTGGGGTGGGGTGTATGGCTGTGCCTTCAGCTCTGCATGTGTGAGCTCATCCTTTCTGTCTTTTTCAATGAGAAATTTTTTCTCAGCTCAAGCAGAAACCCACAGTGTTGGTGTGAGGGGCTGAGAGAGAGGCTGCTAATTTCTGCCGTTTCTAAATTTACGTACATGCTGCCACAGTGGTAGGTCCCAAATTTGACCTAGTTTTATTCATTTGGTTTTCTTCCAATACCTAATTTCCTTAACCTGGATAGAGATCCTTTTACTCTCCCCAATCTATTCATGCGCTTGTCTGTTCAGTTTTACTTCTAACTCTTCAACTAGAAGATGAATCTGCCATTTGAAGCTAGCGGGGGTAAAAATTGCTGCTGAAAAGGACTTCTTTCCAAAGCAGTGCCTCAGTGTTCCTTCTTGTTCTGGTTTGCTTGGATGCCTCAATGGATAAACCACTTTTCTTTAAAAAGGAAATAGATGGAGAGGCCTGAGATCTCATTGGCATCTGGGCTAGGCACTATCTTTGACACCCAGTCTTTCAGCCAAGTATGTGACATGCTTCCCTAACCTGTCTGTCTGAGTCTATCCTTTAATCCATCATCTTTCAGGTCTCAGTAGTGGCTATTTGTCTCTTCTACTTCTTTACAACTTTATTCTGACAGTGGGATTAAGTCAGGATTGAGGTGGAAGGAGCCCTGGACTGGATGTCAAGAGATGTGCTTGACAGCTCTTTATTTGTGACAAGTTGCTACCCTCCTGGTGCCTTAGTTTCCCTGTCTGGCTCGCTAATAGCTGTTCCTAACTGAAACACTTTTATCTCCATGGAAGGAAAGGTATAGTATGTTGTTCAATAATTCAGTACTTTTCCATCTGTCTGGGCTGGAGAGGTAGACGTATGCCTTGCCCTTATTTTAGTCCTGTCCCTCCATCCCCTCGCACCTCACCTTTCTTTTTTTAAAAAAATTATTTTATTTTATTTTTGGCTGTGTCGGATCTTTGTTGCTGCGTGCGGGCTTTCTGTAGTTGCGGCGAGAGGGGGCTACTCTTCGTTGCGGTACGTGAGCTTCTTGTTATGGAGCACGGGCTCTAGGCGCACGGGCTTCAGTAGTTGAGGCATGAGGGCTCAGTAGTTGTGGCGGCCCCCGCGACGGGCTCTAGGCGCACGGGCTTCAGTAGTTGAGGCATGAGGGCTCAGTAGTTGTGGCTCGCAGGCTCTAGAGCACAGGCTCAGTAGTTGTGGCGCGTGGGCTTAGTTGCTCCACGGCATGAGGGATCTTTCCGGACCAGGGATCAAACCTGTGTCCCCTGCATTGGCAGGCGGATTCTTAACCACTGCTCCACCAGGGAAGTCCGTACCTCTCCTTTCATATTCACTTCTGCCAGGCAGAGATAGACAGAGTCTCTAAAATTACAGATTTAGGCATTTTATTGTATAGGGCCTTTGGACAACTTGAAAAGCTCCTAAGAAAATAATAAATTACCAAAGGGGTGAGAAGAAAGGGGGCAAAATGTGAAAGGATTGAGATTGAGCCTGAAGAGGAAGGTAGCTGGTAGTATCAGGATTCCACGTGTCTCTACATGAGGGCAGCTGTTTATTATTGTCACTGAGGAAGAACTTCAGGAAATGGGTCGAAGCAGGGGACTTTCAGTTAGGAAGGAGTTCCCTAAAATTAGTGAAATTGACCCTGGAGCAGGGTAATGGGGAGCCTTCCTAAGAGGGACTCTTCTTGGTAATGTTTGGGTCCAAGATAAGAGCTAACCTGGTTTAGCTGAACCCTGCTCAGAGGCAGAGGAATGGAATCCCAGGGGCAAAGAAACACAATCTAGAGTGTATGAATTTGAACACAAATATTCAGAGGTAAGGAATGCCCGAGTCCAAATCTGGCACAAATGAAGGAACTTGGGTGCTGGGTAGAACTGTTTTTTTCCACTGTCGACCTGGCAGAACCCTTCTTATCTGAGCAGCTGAGCAGGTTTGAGGCTTCTATGAAGCAAGACAGAAGCAAAACATGGGCCAGTTTGAGGGCGATGACCACAGAGAAACAAAAGATGTGGTATTTGCAGAAATAGTAGTATGCTTAATACAAGCAAAGGGAGGGGAGAGAGGCAAAGAGAGGGAGGATTGGGCAGACTTTAGGATCTCTGCAAGTCGCTTCACTTGCCAAGTAATTCAGAGAGTGAGTCAGAGTACTTCAAGTGCCATTTAGGTGCCCTGTGAAAAAGAAACTGAAGTAGAAAAAGACATCATGACTGGGCTGAAGGCTCGAGCCCTAGTAATGTACTTGCCTTCAACTAGAAAAACTTGCCCTATTCTGGGGAAATACCTTTATCTCTATTTCCCCAGCTCCTCCTGGTTAGAAATAATAGAATAAATTTGCTGTGATAACCAAAGAGCAGTGCCTCCTTCAAGCTCTCACTTCTTCTTATTTTGGGGAGAACCTGAGAGTTATGTTGGGGAGACTGGCTGCAGGTTGGAGAGTTGGGTCTGTTTAATTCCAGGCCAGTGATTCCCATCTGGCCCAGTGCATGACCCTGGTTTGTACCCGGTAACACACAACACTCCTAGACCATTTGATTTCGGCTCCTGGGAGGAGAGGGGCTCTCATTTCTAAATTGCTTCTCTTGGCCAGCAGTGGCCTCTCTATGATTCAGAGACAAATGCTCTGACTCATAGGCCGTGTAACTAGGCCCTCTTCCTGGGCTGCAGTGTTGCCTTGTAGACTCTCCCTGCCCCCAAACCGTGGCTCTGGTTATACATGATCCAGTCTACAGACATCAAGGTCAGAGCAGTGCTTTTTGTACTGTGCTATGGAAACATCCCGTTCCACCAGATTCATCTGGCCCAAAGCACCTAAATCACTTTTCTCTGCCTTTCCTTTATCCTTTCTCCACCCCACCTCAAAACCCCTCCAATCCAAGCTCAGCCAGAGGAAGTTCTGTTGCTCTAAGCATCCCCTCTAGACTGATGAGTGGGTCAAGTTCCCCGCCCCCCACCCCTCCCAAGGAAACACACCTCCCTGTTTATACTTTGCTAACAGTTCCTGGTTGTCCTGTCAGGAAATGTCAATGACCTTTTTGTGATAGGCTTAGAATCTGTTTTTCTAGTGTAAACATAATACATTTTACTTTTCCCATGACCATTTCTCTTCCCTCACTGCTGCATCCTGGTGCCACGTCCTCCCTCATCTGACTGTGTGTGCCTGCTGTGTTGCGAAGTACCCTCTCCGGGCTCCTTGGCTCCTTCTTGGAAGCAAGTGATCGAGGACTAGGTCCTATAATTTTTGCATCCCCCACAGTGCCAAACGCAATGCCTTGTGTTTTATTTAGCAAAGTAAATATTTGTCAGTGGGAGGTGATAGGGCGGCCCGGGATCATAGGAACAGAGAGGTCTGCTCTGGCTAGACCTCGGAAAGGCCTGGCATTCCCAGGGGGAAGGGCACAGTGGTTAAGGTGAGAAAGGGCAAGGGAAAGA